TAGGCAAGGCAGTACATCATGGTAGAAAGAATGCAGAGGAAGTATGGGATAGAAGAAGTTGCTCACCTCATGGTAGCTGGAAATAAAAAGGGCAGCAAAGTGCCAGTTGTCCCAAGATACCCTTCAAGGGTACCTAACTGCCTCCCAATATACCTCACCTCTTAAAGCTCCTACTACTTCCCTATTAGTAGTGTCATAGCTACAGAACAAACTTTCAACACATGGGCCTTTAGGGGACATTTCATATCCAAACTACATGATTATTTATTAGAGCTGATTCCCAATACTGTATAAGCTTTATTATATTCTACCAAAAGAAGAAAAAAGTTTCCCTAATTCTAGCTATCCATTTATCCCTTCCTTTAAAGCATTGTTTAAAACTTAATGCTTCCATCCATGTTCCTGGATTAATTGTGAGTCAAGAATTTCAATCATTTGTCAGGTGCAGTGGTGCTTACCTATAACCCCAGTGGCTCGGGAGGCTGAGGCAGGGAGAATCTCTAGTTCAAAGCCAGCCTTAGCAAAAGTGAGGAACTAAGCAACTCCGTGAGATCCTTTCTCTAAATCAGATACAAAATAGGGCTGGGGATGTGGCTCAGTGGTTGAGTTCCCCTGAGTTAAATTCCTAGTACCCCCAAATAATTTCAATCATTCAATCAATATATTTATTCTATTTGTGTACCTGTAAGTTATTAATATCATAGCATTTTGACTTCCTCTTACATAGCATTTACATTTATTTCATCTCCTTGTTTAAATGTCTGTCACCCAGATAAACCATAAGTTTTTGAAAGGGATGAAACCAATTCTGTCTAGTATCTCTTGTGTGCGGTATAAAATAGACACTCAAATACTTGTTGGTTCAGTGAATAAGTAAGTGAAAGCTAAATATGTATTATTTCATTATTTTTTAAAGATCTCATCACTATCTAGTTCTTGGTGGTTTTTGTATCTTCCCAAAAGATTCTAAGTTGCTGTACATGTATCATCTAATTTCAGCACATAACCATAAAACCCTTTAGTAGTTAAGAAGTAATTCAGCTTAGTTCACTGACATAATAATCCTAAAAATTCAGAAATAGATATCAAGGAAATTAAGAAAGAGTTGGTGATGAAACCACTAGAAAGGGTCAAGTAAATACAGATGGTCAGAGAGAAAATAATTAACACAAGTACACTGATGCTTTGGTTTGAATTGTTGTCTCTTAAAGGACTATGTGTTAAAAAGTGCAGTCCCCAGGATGGTGTTATTTGATGGAAACTTTGGGAGATGGGCCTAGTGGAAGGCAATCAAGATTACTGTAGGTGTACCCTATGAGGAGATTGTGGGACCCTGAACTCTTCCCCCTTCCTTTTTGCTTCCTGACCATGAGGTAAGCAGTTTGCTCTTCCATACACTGTTTACCATTGCTAGTTGGCACCCTCACAAGAAGCCCAAAGCAATTATGTCTTTCTGATTTTAGATTGGCATCTCTAAAATTGAGCTAACATAAAATTTTAATCTTTACAATGTATTTCATTATAATGACAGAAAGCTGACTCATACAACCCTACAGATTATAATTATTACCCATCAATGGAAATCATAGCTTACTAGTAAGATCTCAAAATAAGAATTTACTAATGTCTGGTGGACATTAGTTATGGATAGACTAGTACTTAAGTAATAAACTGAACAATAATGTAATTTCTTACTACCATTACAACCAAGGGCCTTGAACCTCTCATTTATCTATTTCTGTATATTGGTATATCTATATATCTATAGTACTTGATCAATGATCTTGGAATACAATATTTAATTTATAGCTATCTTTCTTACATTGGATGCGGATGACACAAATTAAGAAGGCTTTGCCCATACTTTTAATTTATTCTGCAAACTGCAGAATATAGTTCAACAAATATTTGGCTTTTATTTTTCTAATTCAATAGTTTTTGGTTTTCATTTGCTATGTTTGTAAATTTCTAAAATACTTCTAGAAATGTTTAATAGCATATCAAAACTGAGTAATAAATATTTCATAAATAATCAGAGCAGCCAAACTTCACTAGGTACTTTCTACTTACAGGCACAATTATCTCAGATGATTCTCAAACAAATCTATCAGGAAGACTATTACTAATAGTCTTTACTGAAGAAGAAAACAAAGCACAGAGATTAGCTTTAAAAAGTTCTCTTAGGCATAAGAGCCAGAGCCTGAACTATGTACCTATGTAGCCTGATTCCAGAGTTCATGCTCTTAACCACTAAGTAACATATTTTATATTTCTGCTATATCTGTTTCCAAAAAATGGATAAATTTCCTTCTGAAAAAAAGAAAAACAAATCTATTAGAGACATATGTCTTTAGAAGTCCATAGAATGAAGATAGCCAGTGTCTCAAATGAGATGTTCTTGCCCTCAAAAAGCTTGCAACCCAATTGGGGAACCAGAACAAACATCAAAAGAAAACAATACACTGTGCCATAGGATGAATGCAAATAAGCATACCCAGAATTTGCTATGAAAGTTGAGAGAAAGTAATTTCTAAGTACTGGGCCATCATAAAAGATTTGATAGAAAATACAGGCCTTATATGAGGGATAAAATTAATAGGAGGAAGAAAAGATGGTTTTATAAGTAATGGGAAACATTTGAACAAAATTATGGATGAAGCACCCTGAAAAGATCAACTGTTCTAATTTTTCATTAAGGGAGGTAAATGGTGATGAGGCTAGAAAATTAAGGACCATATTGAAAAGGTAAATGAATTCCAGTTAAAGAATATTTTATTCTCTAGATCTACCCTCTTCAATATTGCAGCCACTAGTCAAGTGTGGCTACTGATCACATGAAATGTGGCTAGTCCAAACTGAGATGTGCTGTGTAGGCAAAATACATACCAACGTTTTAGGACATAGGAGGAAAAAAGAATGTAAAACATCACATTAATAACTTTTAAAAAATATTTTTTAGTTGTTGATGGACCTATTATTTATTTATATGTGATGCTAAGAATTAAACTCAGTGCCTCATGCATGTTAGACAAGTGCTCCAACACTGAGCCACAATCCCAGCCCTCATTAATAATTTTTATTTGATTACATTTTAAAGTGATAATATTCTGTATATACTGAGTTAAATATAATATTTAAAGTCACATTATGTAGCTTGTACTTTTGTGGCTTCCATTGTATTCATATTGGACTGGGCTGTTCCAGAAAATGACACACAAAGGAAGATTAATGAGCAGGTATTAATGTCTGGTGGACATTAATTGTTTTAAGAAGTTTATCCTAATATAATAGACTCATAAGACAAATTATCTGGTTTTTCAATAAGCTAAATCACAGAAAAAGAAGAAAGCAAGATTTTAGCAAAGAAGTGGGCCTACTATAGCTTAAAAGATGTTTCAGAAATGTAATAACCAAATATAATGTGTGCACTTTGTATCCTGTTTCAAGGAAACTAACCATAAAAGACATTTTTGAAACAACAAGGGAAATATAAGTAAGGTCCAAATACTGATACCAAAGAAATATTAATAATATTGGTTGAATAGTACACATTTCCTATTTTTCAAACCCAAATAAATAAATAAATAGAATAAAAGGGAGAACACAATAACCTAACAAGAATAGTACATTAAGATAAAGCACTTTTCTGTTCAAACTGAAGTACTTAAACATATCTCTTTATACAAGGAAGGGCTAAGAAGTGCAAAGTGGGTTGTTTAAGGGCTAGGGAAATTCAAGAATTATTCTGACAGTATTGCATTAGAAAGTATTCACTTAATTTTGTTGCTTTAGGTATTTTTGTAGGGCTAAATAGAAGGTACGCTGGAGCCAGGACTAAAACTAGACCCTCTATCAGTATAATTTTCTTTGTGTCTGCCTTAAATATGTGAAAATCCTATGGAGAACCAATACTTTTATCTTTAGATTTTTTTAAAGTTGCCTGTATCACTCTTTATAGTTCTTACCATCATTAAATAATAGATCATATTAGAATATTTTACTGACTCTACATAATTTTATCTCTAATGCTTCTTAAAGCAAGATTGGGTGGAAGAAAGATTAAAAAATAAAAGGAAAATAAATCTAAACAGCAGCAACAGCAAAACCATCTTAACATTTCCAGGTAAAATTGTATGTCACAAGCCAAAAAACTAAGATAAATTTACACCTCTTGGCACAATGCCAGGAAGAGAGATCAATGTAAAACAAGCGAAGAGAAGAGTTAATAAAAGGGAACAAGGGAAGGGAAGAAAGAGAAAAGGAAGGGTGGGGGGAACTAGCTAGGACAAGCCCAACAGCGCCCATTTGGAGTGCCCCTTAACTGATTCAAAGGGGAGGAGACCATTTTATTTTTTCGAAAGGCTTAAAAGGTAGCAAAGCGGCCTGAGAATATGTGGACTAAGTAAGGGTTCGGCTGCTACTCAATTAGCTATTTTGGTCCTGGTCTTTGGTTTTTTGCCCTAATAGTAAAACCATCCTTATTTGTCTCACTGGATTAAAGTGAAAGCAGAGTGAGATAGAAAATTAAAAAGGATATGGAAAAGTTCTTTTTTTTTTTTTTTAAGTCGGTGACCAAAGTCTAAAAGAAATAATTATCTTGAACCTATTTTATCAGAACTCCTCATCCTTCTCATAACCTCCACCCGCGCCAAGTACACACAGAAAAGAAGGGGAGTGGCGAGCGCAGGGTAAGGTGAGCGAAAAAGGAGACAGAAGGCGGGGATAGCCTGAGGGGTGTGTTGCTCGCTGAAGAGGAGGAGAGAAGCGACAGTCGCAGAACCAGAAAAAAAGAGCCAGAGTGAGGCGAGGGACTCAATTCTCTACAGCTTGGACACTTACAGCTAGTCAACTCCATGAAATTGGTGACTGGTTACCATAGCTACCGCGTCGGGGCGGGAACAGCGGCGCTTCCTACTGGTGCCCTGGCACCTAGGGCTCGACTAGAAACATGATCACGTTAGAGCAGTGACTTCCGGCGGAAAAAGACACTGGTTCCTAGCCCTAGCCGGTATCCGAGAGCCGGCAGCGAGCGGGCCTCCTTGGCTGTGTGAAGTTGGGTAAGTCTGATAAAATCTGAAGCCCGGGAGAGGGTACCCGTCAAGTGGCCGGGCCGGTGGAAGTGACTGTGTATACAGTGGATTCCCAAGTTCTAATCTTGGGAAGGCCCCAAATGTCTGAATAAGTCTGTAGCGTGGAAAGAGGTTGCTTGGTTTCTGGGGCTCCTGGTAAGTGTGGTTTCTGTAGCTTGAATGGACAGCTTCAGGGGGCTCTTCAAATCTTTGGGAGGTCAGAGCGTCTCTCCAGTAACCTGGGGACTCTTGCTGTCTCCCTGCCAGTGCTAATGTTCACTGCGCACAATCTCCTTTCCATGTAATCTGGAAGAAAAGAAGTGAACGGAAAAAATCAGGGTATGCCCTCAAATTCATTTTTGTTTTTGTTTTTAGTTTTCTGTTTTGCTTTATTTCTTCTGTTTGTTTATTTCGTAAATATTTATTAAACTGTGTTTAGTAAGCTCTTGTATGCCATTTTACCCACCAGATTACCTTCTTAGAAGTTCATTCACCAACTACCTCCAGTATCAACTTCTAATTTTATACTACTGTATATTCATTAATTTAAAAGATATAATAGGTTTTCCATTTTTGTGTATACCCTTATCCATGGAATTCTTGGCATTTTAAATAAAAATGCATGATTCCATAGGTTTACGTTACAATCATGATTCCTCAATGAGATATTAAAGAACTCAGAAAGGCAGTACTTCATTTTAGATATAAACTGTAGTGAATTATTGACATTGATATTTCCATTCAGCGGATCTGAGAAGATCCACTTCTTGTTTAATGGATGATGGCATTTGAGCAGTTACCAAAAAAGGATTGGTACAGCATTCTGGGAGCAGACCCGTCTGCAGATGTGTCAGACCTAAAACAAAAGTATCAAAAGCTCATACTGATGGTAAGTCTTTTTCTTTAAGATTATAAATCATGGGCGACAAAAACAACAGGTTATAATTGTCACTAGAAATTTAGGTTTTTAAACATATATGGTATCAGTAGGAATTCAAATATTAATTTGCGTCAATTGAAAGTCTCAGTAATATAGCAAAACAAAAACAAAAAAACACTTGACTTGATGTGGAACTGGAGATCTGAGTCAGGTTGATTGAGTTATTGGACAACTTTCTTCTGTATGTGCCTCAGAGAGGAGTAGATATAATAATCCATATAAAATGTATAGAAGTGTTGTTGTATAATAAACAGTTAACTTCCAGTAACCACTAGCCACATGTTGATATTGAGCACTTGAAATATGGGTAGTACAAATTGAAGTGTACTATAAGTATAAAATGCATATTGAATTTCAAAGATTTAATTTTATACTGTTAATATGTTGAAATGATACTATTTTGGATATACAGGCTATTTTGTAGAGTATATGCATAAGATATCCATATCCAAATTTCTTTCACCTGCTTTTACTATTTTAATAACATTGCATATGTAGTCTGCATTTATAACTCAGATTATATTTCTATTGGAAAGTACCGATTTAAACCATTTTTGCACATTTTCAGTTGAATTCATCCTCTTAAAAAATGAATTGTGGTATTTATAAATATATAGAATCTTTCTGAACTCTTATATTCATTTTTAAATCTATTTGATGATGTTCTTAATCCAATTTTAGTAAATCTACAATGATCTCCAGTTAACAGAGTTTACAAGAGTTAAGAACCATTATTTATAGAGCATTAGTTATTTCTCTAGTTTATACCAGATACGTCTCTGGTATTTTCTCCACAAACTATTCATGTTTATTGTGACTGATAGATGTTTCACCATTAGGAATTGTACTAATATTACTGTTTTAGGTAGTAAATGAGACTAAATGACCATAAGCCATCTTCTTCAGAAGTTTTAAGGTTTCTATCAGCAAAATCAAGTAGGTTTTAGTGAAAAATTTCCTGATACTAAATTATCCTTTTACTTCTGTTAATTGGGAGATAAGGTGAAGTTGACTACGATAGATCATGCAGGTCCTTCTAGGCCCTGTTAGCCTTTAATTGGGTAATGAGAAACCATCTGCATTTAATAGAGTGGTATCTGTCAGACACCAAAGTGAATGAACACTGTATGTGCATGTTAGCAGTGTATCAGAGTTTCAGTTGCTCTACATGTTCATCAGCATTTGATGCTATTAATCTCTTTCATCTATTGAGATTTATCAATTTTGACACCATTTAAAATTTTAGCAGTATAATTATTTGTTATATAAAATATAACAAATATTATAAAATGTATAACAGCATCCCAGATGCCAAACAATGAAAAATATCTCTTTTGAGTATCAAAATGGCCAACTTCACTCACTATTCCATTGAGAGTCACTGCTATTGTACTGTGTTTGTAGTGATACCATATTGTGGAGTTTTTGTTTTTGCTTTTGTTTTTAAACCTTTTGTGACTATCAATGTTGAGTATATTATAATTATTGGCTATTTTTATAATCTTTTGTGAAATGTATTTTTTTTAATTAAATATATTCTTGATCCTGTGTACATGTTGCGTATATTTTTTTCTAGTCTGCAGCTTGGCAGGTCATTTTCTTAATGGTGTTTTTTGATTCATAGTTTTTTTGTTTAGATGAAATACAATTCATCCAATTTTTGTTGTATATTTGGAGCTTCCTATATCTTCTCTAAGGTCATAAGAATATTCTTTTGTTTTCTAATAGAAGTTTTATAATGTGTTTTTTCCTTTGAGATCTATGATTTTTATGTATAGTATGATATAGGTGGTCATATTTTTATTTTTCCTCAATGTAGAGATCCAGTTCTTCTAGCATCATTTGTTAAAAATATGCTTTTTTTCTGCATTGAATTATTGGTGATATGAATGTATTTCTGCACATTATTCTGTTTGGTATATTTGTCCTTTTGTTAACATCTCTATCTTGATTCCTATAGGTTTATAACTCTCACAATCATGTAAATTCATTCTTTTTTTTTCAAGTTTATTTTGGTTATTCTAGTTTGCTTGCATTTCCATAGAAATTTTACAATCAGCTTATATATTTAAACCAAAAAGTAATCTTGTTTGAGTTTTAAATTGAGATTGCATTAATATATATTCATTTTGCCAAAATGGACTGCTTGGTAATATTGAGTTATAAATCCACAAACATATTAAATCCTTTCACTTAGTTAAGCCATCTTTAATTTGTCTTAGCAGTATTTTATGATTTTTAGTATAGAGGCCTTGTACATCTTTGGATTTGTTTCTAAAGATTTGATGTTTCTGGTTGCATTGAAAAGGGAATTTTTAAAAATTTTACTTTTGAGTTATTGATTAATAATATGTAGAATTAGTATGCCTTATTTTCATATACTAGTTTTATAACCCACAATCTTGTTTTTAATTCTTCTAGCTACTTTTGTAGATTTCTTAGATTTTCTACAAATTATGTCATTTGCAAATAGCTTTAATTTTGTCTTTCCAACCTGTGCCATTTATTTCGCTGTGTGTCTTTCTGTTTTAATGTACTAGCTAGGTGAAATTTGCTTTCTTCTTGCCTGTGTCCATGATGGTTTTCTCCTACTGCTACTCTGGTAGCAAAAACGTCAATGGGTCTCTTCTTTATTAGGAAGGGTTTTTACATTTTGAATTTATTAGGTTTCTTGGAATCTTCAGCTTCCTGAGTCTTCAGCTTCCTCTATTAAAACAAAAACAAACACACATCATAGAAAATTATGAGTATGTAGGATATCTGACTTGTTTTTCTAGATAATTAACTATCAGAATTGAAATATGCCATAATTTTTCTCATCTTTTAAAAAAGCAAAGTGTTGATTCCTTTTCTGCCATTTATCGCCCCACCTCTGTTCTTTGCAGCAAAGCTATTTGAAAGAATTGTCTCTACTGCCTTGTGCCAATTTCTCTTCCCATCTCTCTCAAACCTATCCCAGTGAAACTTTGCTGCCATCACTCCAGTGAAGGTCAGCACTGAGATCCATATTGCTAAAGCCAGAGATCAATTCCCAGTCTTCATTTTGATCAAATAATAATAATACTGTTTATCATAATTGTCCTAGAACTGTTCTGGTGTTTGCCTGGTTTTTTTTGTTTTGTTTTGTTTTGTTTTGTTTTTTTGCACAATTAATAGCTCAGCTCCCCTTTTCACTTTGAGAAGTGTTCTAGTTTTAGTGATATTTAATAACAGCATTTGGTGCAGTGTATCACACCTCCTTCTTGATATATTTTCTTTGCTTGTTTTCCAGGACATGATAATTTTCTGACTTCTCTTACTAAAACCATCTCTGGAAAGTAGAATGCAGTCAATAAATCTTTGTTCAATGTGTCAAGTATATGAATATAGTCAACTTTGTATTTTAATTCCTTTGTTGATTTTTTTATGTATTTTTTTTTCTTGGTACTGGGGATCGAACCAGTGGCGCTTAACCACTGAGCCACATCCCCAGCCCTTTAAAAAAAATTTTTTTTAATTATTTTATTTTGAGTCAAGGTCTTGCTAAATTGCTTAGGGCCTCACTAAGTTGCTGAGGCTGGCTTTGAACTCCAGCCTCAGCCTCCCAAGTTGCTGGGATTACAGGTATGCGCCACCGCACTTGGCAGTTTTTTGTTTTTGTATTTACAATTTCTGCACTCTGCCAGATTTACTGAAGTTATATTTTTGAGTTTTTTTTAGGAATATAATATCTTTTTAAAGATATTAAAGTTTATTTTTTTCTTTTTCTTCCTTTGAGTTCCTTTTTAAAAAAAATATTTTGGCACTTTTTTTTTTTTTTGCCTTTTATCATAGAGGCTCCTTTCATATTTGGTGATCCTAGATCATGTTTAAAAGTGAATGATTACAGCTGATTTGCAAGTGTATGTACATGACTGGAGGCTTTCATCAGGTAAGGTGAATCATTTTGTTGTAAGATCTCACTTGCCTACATTTGAATTTTCATCTCAGAGAGGAATTCTCAGATCTCCTGCCTGGGGAGATGGGAACTTGGGCTCCTACAGTGGTGTGTGTTACATTCCATCTTCCTTTTGTTTTCATTGTCTTAAGTTCACCTTTGTATCCTAGTGCTCAGCAGTGTGCCTGATGTTCCTGAATCCAGAACATCTTTGGTCTTTCTTTCCACACAGTAAACTTCTAATTTTCTGCTCTGATAAGACAGAGTAGATGCCTGGCTTTGTGATGAGGAGGACTTTAAATCCCAACCAGACTTTCTCTCATTTACTCCTGCCCCTCAACCCCACTCTCAGTGATAATAATGCTTTCAATTTATTAGTTTCTCTGATCTCTGTGTGAATGAACATCCTTCTTATTCTCTCACTTTAGGCTTATGTTTCAGTTTTCTTGGGCAGATTGAATTGAATACTATGTTAGTCAGCTTTCCATTACTATAAGAAGTACCTGAGATAATCAGCTTATAAAGAGAAAAGGTTTATTCTGACCTAACAGTTCAGAGGTTCCAGTCCATGATCCGTTGCCTCCATTGCTTTTGCTTCTGTGGTGAGGAACTTTCATGACAGAGCAAAACCACTTAGCTCTTGGCCAGGGAGCAAAGTAAAGAAGAGACCAGGGTCCCACTGTCTACTTTGACTGCTGTGATCTATAGATCTCCTGTTAGGCCCTACTTCTTAAAATTCCACCACCTTCCATTAGTGTCAAACTTGGGACCAAGTCTTTAGTACATGAGCTTTGGAGGGATAGTCCAGATCCAAATATAGCAGGTACCATTTATGGATCAAATTTTAGTGTTTTCTGATCTGTTTTTTCTGTTCTATTGGTTGTGCATTTATGTCTTTTTAAAACAACATTATTCCTCTGGAATTTGGGGAGGTTAAAGGGGAAAATGTGTGAATTAATTTACCACATAGTATTTCATTTGCTCTTGGATGGTGTGGGGCGGGGTTCAGATACCTTCAGTGGTCATACGCCTT